CTTCTCCCAGGGAGTCCTGGCCAAGACTGGCGGCAAAAAGTTTCAAAAAAATATACATAAAAGACAGGACAAAGGTTACATACTACACCACAAAAAACACAAAGAAGACATTACACTTAACTCAAGCTACTACAACTTAAAGGGCACCTAGTTAGAAACAATTACACTGTTCTGTCAGAGGTTGACTTTTAAAAGGTTTTAAAAGTATTAAATAGTTGAGTATTCTAGATTTAGGGTGTTTTGAAAAAGAGAAGAAGAAGAAGAAGAAGAAGAGAAGTGTTTTTTAAAACAGAAGCTTAGAATAGAAACAAACTACAAAAGTAAAATTCAGATTAAAATGAGATGATGGTGAAAGTTTATTGCTGCTGCTGCTGCTGCAAGGGATAATGACTGTAATGATGAGGATTATGATGACACTGAAGATAATGATGATGAAGCTCTGAAGAAATCTTTTTAACTGTTATTGGCAGTGCCACAAAGTCAGGGACGACCCCGCTGCACCTGGCCGCCTCTGAAGGCTTCCTGGATTGCACGGAGATCCTCTTGCAGGCCGGAGCAGATGTGTCGGCCCGGGACAACGAGGGACACACTCCTCTGGATTTGGCCCGCATCTGGTGCCGCAGGAAAGTAGCAAGGTAACGAGCTGCAAGAGCAATTCACACCGAAATTAAACTTCTAAAACTGATAGAATTTTTTTTGACACTTTTGTTTTGTGTAGGTACCTGAAAAACTGCATGTGGCAGAAAGATAAGAAGAAAGAAATGCAGGAGAGAAAGCTAGTTCAGGCTTTATACAGTGATCTGGTGGATATGGCGAAGATGAATAACCTCAATAAAAAGGTTAGTTTGTGTTAATTTACCCCCAAAAGTGTGACAGAATCCGCAAAATTGATTTATTTATATGTCAAAACACTTTTTATATTGTATTAAAGAAAAACACAGCTAAATGAAATCTTACTTTATAAAATGTATTCTTGGACAATGACATTTGCAGCATATTTTTAACATATCTAAGAAGCTAATCACATTTTCTCTGTTTTCTTTACAGACACTTATTGATGTGAAGGTGGCGGAGTGGGCGAACAAGAAAGGTCTCCCACTCCTCAAAGATTTCTCCCCTAGAGTCTCGGTGAGCCGGTACCACACCCAGTGCCTCTCACCAGATCACAACAGTCCTAACCCAAAACATGCCAAGCACCCGTTGAACCACCACCAACCGGTAGCCCCTCAAGAGAACAGGAGCACCTCCACCAATTTGCCTCCAGCCTCACCCTCCAGGCCATGGACCATCTTCATGGGCATCCAGCCAGAGAGGCCCCCTATAGTGCCGGACCTCCGGGACAGCATCACGGTGTGGAGGGACAGCAGCAGCAGCAGGCAGCCTCAGTACACGTCAAAGTGGGACGCTACGCCTCACCCCGCCCCTGACCTGCCTCTGGATGTCATCGAGAGGGCGCTGTTCCCCAGAGCCTTCCCTTCCAGGATCGCCTCCCCTCGGTGCTTTGAGCCACAGGACATCATAGAGGTCCAGCGCCTAGGATACCCCCAGGGGCGGAGCACCTCCCCCTGGACAGAGGTGGCGATGCACCTGGCTGAGGTGCTGGAGCCCGGACATTACTGATCCTCACGCTGGAAGAGCTTCATCTGAACCTGAAACTAGTAGATGTGTTTAAGAATGTATTAAAACTCATCTGGTAATCAAGTATTTGATATATTTTTACATCCAAACTTGGTTGGAATTTAACACATTTTTATAGTTTTTATATCAAACGATGTGGAAATTAACACGTTAGTATTGTAATTATAGGATTGTAAGAAATCACGTATCTGTACAATTTCTCATCCAGAGTATTTACAGGCATAACAGCAGACTCCTCCGAACAGAATATCCTGCTACCCCCACGACTTCGGCTGAAGGTGACAAAATCAAAAACGCCACACTCCAGACAAAAAGCGAGGGGCAATGGAGGGGTGAGTTAAGGGTGAGAAAACCTCAGTGAACTGGGTCACCTGTCACAGATGTATCCCTGCACTTTCACTGATCCTCCCCCAGGGAACTGACTCGGTATCCAGGTGAGGGCTTGTCAACAGCATGTGTGTAACTGTGAGCTGTGGCCTGTCAGCTAAAGGTGTGTGTGTGTGTGTTGCGGTTTTCCCTTTACTTTGTGAAGCACTTCACACCTCAGTGGGGGTCAGAGTGCACACTAGCCTAAACCTGGTGCACCCACTGTGACCGAGCCATATGGGACTTGAATAACATAGCGCCATCCAGTTAGACAGTCCGACACACACACACACACACACACACACACACTCTCTCGACGGAGTGGAGTTCAGGGCGTGACAACAGTCCATCCATCCTACTGCAAATAAAATGTAACACTGAATGAGTGAATTTATCTGATTTAATTGGAAATGACGAAGATCAGTCTAGATCTATTTTGGCCTTTTATTTCCTTGAACACCAACCTGTGAAAAGAATAATTTCATCTGCATTTTTTCATTAAAATCTCTTTCATTTTATTATACACTTGGTGTGCATACCAACCAATGAATCGCACTCAGTAATTGGTAAAAAGAATTTCAGCCTCTTTAATAGTACTCTCATCAAACCGCTTCGAGCAGCTTTTGTCCCCGACAGCTGTAAGCTTACAAGAGTCATTGCACAGGTTCGATCTTCAGAAAGGTTTCCATTTGTCTTTGACGTCGTGTTAACCGAACAATCAATGTACAAAAAAAGAAAAGTCTGTTTGTTATTACTTTGAATGTTTTAAAAATTGCCCAGAAAAGTCAGGCATGTTGCAGACTACAGCGCTGGTGATTAATTAAAGTGTAGATGCAAGAGATTTAAAAAAAGTGCATCGTTTTTGTGGCCACGTCGGATTTAAGGGTGTTTAATTATGAAGTAATCCTTTCCAAGAGCCTTTATTAACCTCCTTTTCACCGATGTGATGCAACCGGGCAGAGTATTTATACCACGTCAGACATTATAATTGGAACAGGACGCCTCCATAGATCACACACTGACTCCTTACAATTAAACTTTAGACTGCCATTTCTCAATTAAAGTAATCTTAATAAGCGCTTCTGTGGCGAAGGCCTTTTCTCCTGCAGCTGGTTTGCCACATAAAAACACTTTTTGTTTCCTTTCAAAGATCGCTTCACACCAAAATCCAGGCTCTGACATCAGAATATATCCAGAAAGTACCATTACGCTGTCTCATTTATCCTCAACCCGCTTTCTTCATCCGTATTTCGTCTCCTAAAGCTACTTTGTGTCATCAGTGCTACTTTGTGTATTGAATCAGATGAAGTGTGAGAAACTACAACACACAAATGACAGCAGATGTCATCTCAAGAAGAAAACCGATAAGGATTTATCTGCCAAAGTCAAACTTTACAGGTATTTGGTGGTTGTTAATTTCAGACCCCTGCACGTACATATTTTAATACCAAAGCTTAAAAAATGGAGTCCAACGTGACAATTAGAAAGCACTGCGCTACAGACAAGATCCTCTCAGTGAGGTCTCTATTAGATGTTGTTGGCAGTCAGTACAGACAGACAGGGAAAAAAAAAAAATAAGAGGAGAACATGGCCTGTGTAAACTCGTGGGCTCATCCAGCAGGAAGCTCTGTTCATTGGTCCGTCCTCTTCGTGTGCTCTTCTTCCACTTCGGCCACTGCTTTGTTTTAGTCCCATCCAGAAACAAATTCCCATTGTCCTTCCTGCTTCCCCCCTTAAATCTCTGACACATACACACACACACGCACACCCCCGATGGCGAGGCTGCACCCCGAGTCTGAGCTCATCAGTACATTTTCTGTCGGCTGGGCAGCACTGCCTCCTTGAGGAAAGAGAACACGAGGAGGATCCCGGACCTCTTCCCCCTCTTGCCCTTAGTGAAGTAATTAGACACCACATCATCTAAAAAAAAAATAAGAGGGCAGTTGTTAATTATACCATTCATCCATTATCTATCTGGTTATCCTGTGAAGGTTTAGAGGGGGCAAAGATACTAAAGATAGAACAAACTAAACTGATCCCACACAGGGAAAATAGGAGTGCGCCCAACGTGGGGCTC